GGTTGACCGGATGAAGGTTTTATAGAATAAAAAACGCTTACATCTACACCTATATTGTCGAGGGAGAAGTTTAAGGTGTGAATGAGAGTACACGAGAATTCCTTTGTTTTCCGAAATCGAATTTTTCGCCGTATGAACTACTGTGTAATAATATACAGTGTATAATGTGTGTACAGGACGATCCAGTAATCACGGATCTATAATTTTCGTAGACCATTTTAAATGAATTAGATCTCTGTTTGTATTTTTCAGCCATTTGGAATCGTTGTGTTTTTATGTTAAAACTTTATTTCATTTTTTACCCTGATACATTTATCATCTAAAACCGGATAAGAAATGTATTATTCTTTCTTGTTCTTCGGGTCTAAACGTTATTAAACCGTTATAACTCATAAACAGTCAATATTCAATAGTAACGGTATGCGTGTCAACATTTTTTTTTTAAAAAAATATTGTCTATTACCTATTAAATTAGTGTTCAAAAAAAGGGTCCCCCCCTTTTTGAAAATCGACAGTATTTACTCGTTTATATTCTATTTAAACCAAAGCTTATACGAATACATAATGATTGAAAAACCAGAAAGAAAATTCGCTTTAAATCCTCCGAGAATATTGCTGGCTCATGATAAATGAGTGATTGATCAGTACAGTACCTACGTGTTTTCATACAATACGTTTTGTTATTAAGATTTCTGATAATATTACGACTTGACAGTTGATACCATAGGCGTAGCGTGATGGTTTTCTGAGGCGAGAGGGGGGGGGGAGGCTATAGCCATAACGAAATAGTGTTTACATTGGTACGTATGCATAAGCAATGTACATATCTATTCGTGGGTACCGTTGTGGTGTTGACCGCTCCCATAAAAGTCTAAGAGTTATTTAGAGACGTGCACGGGTTTTTATAAATTCGGGAAAATTGTAATATTAATAATCGATTCAATATCTTCTATGTCAATACAGGTAGACCCGAATCGAAAACTGTACTAATTTGCAACTGAAAAATAAATAATAACTGTCCGTGTTTATTCGTCTCGAATTTTCGAGCATTTTTACAGAGCCGATTAATGGTACGCGAATTCCCGTAATCTGTACGATTGTCATCGAACCGTGTGTACGCTTGTGAAAAGAATATTCGCGACTGTGGATTCGTTACCTGCAGAAACGCCATCACTTTGAAGTTGATAGCGAGATTTCTGGTGAAAAAGTTGTTCGCAAACGGAAAAGAAGAAAAAAAGCACGCGTACAGCGAAACCGGTACGTCGTTCGGTATGCTCAGAATATAAAAAAAAAAAGAAAAAAAAAAAAAAACCCCTAACAACATCGAACCGTATAGAGTCGAACTCAAACGACGTTATTACGGTACGGTTGTTCGTTACTTTTTACGGTCTTTGAAAAAAAAAAAAAACAAAATCGTTGCGTTCGTTACGCGGGTTTCGGGATAATTTAATCTGACAACTGCTGTCTACGTATACCCCGGACACGTGTATACCCGACCAGTTTATAATATTATAGCGGGGCAATTAACAGCACGATTTACGGTGTAAGGCCGGCGGCGGCCAGATCGAATTCGCACGTAAAAATCGCACGTGTTTTTTTTTTTTTTTATCGATATTATTATTATAATAACGAGTCGCGTCGAACTGAATAATCCGATTTTTTTTTTTTTCTAATCCGTTTACGTTTTTATAACAGGCAATATAATAACGACGCGTTTGCACGGAAACCGAGTGCGTCTACCTGTATACGATTTTGACGGCACGCGAAATTATTGGCCGCCCGCGTATACTATTATTATTTGTAATTATTATTATTATTATTACGATGCGGTCCGGATGCCGCCGTGGATGGGGGTAAGACAATGCAGTCAAGTCAGAGATCGGCATGTAAACTTCCTTGATTTTTATTAAATGTTGATCTATTGAATAAAGTGTCTTCCGTCATGCACTACGCATTGTACCTCGAGCATTTTCTATCTATTCAACCATAAACATAAACATTCAACACCCACTCGCCATTTTTTTTCGTGACGCAGCTGCGTCAATTTCAATCCCGTTCACCGGTGTGGATTGGCGGGCCTTAGGAGTAATAATGTTTAAAATGCTTGTCGGAGAGGATATTTATGTGTAACGTAATACCGTAACTAATGTAAATTTCTATCGCTATCCACATATAGTCGCCATTCACAGGTAACGATAACCAAAAATTGTTCGACTCCATAGTGAACGACGAAGTTAAATGTCCCAATTTTTTTTTAAATAAGAATCGATTGCAATCACGAGACGAGTATGTTATTTTTTAATTTATATTAGAATGCCTAAACTATATGCTTACGAAAAAAAAAAATGTTTTATCATTTTAGTAGATATAGTTATTAGGTAAAAATGGTTATTAGGTAACAGATTAGGTGCGAGTGAAAGAGACGCAGAAAATGTGAAAATAGAAGCATTTTTTCGGACAGGTGGTTAGGGATGATTTGTTACAGAGATAGGTCAAACATCCGTTCGTATTTTTTTACCGTTGTAAACATCTTAAATATAACTGTTTTGAAACATAATATTAGCTTTACATAATAAATTATACTAAGGTGAAAAAACTAACACCCGTCCCCATTATCCTAGGACAGCATTTTTTTTAACTGATGTGTACTTTTCACAGTCCCTCTCTACATGACCATACTTATTGCACAAATTGTATTAAAAAGGCCTTTGCAAATTTCATTTAGATAACAGATGGTGTATCATTTGACGAATATTCAGTTATCGTTCAACTTTTGTTATAAGAACAACGTTTATTTAAAGACTTTACGCACACGGCTGACTAGTTTTAACAGGATAATTATAAAAGCTAGGAAAATTTACGTTTTCATTCATAATAACGTAGGTATGTTAATGCTCGATCAAAATAGTCCCGCCCAATGTAAAACAAACTAATTAAAGTCATTCTTTTATTTTTTTTATGATATTATTACAGACATTATTCAAATATAACTGTGATTCATATTTGATGTTAGAAAACATAACGCTATGCTGCTACTCAGATTACATTTCTTAAGCAGTAATTAACAGGAAATTTCATGAAGTAGAAATATTATCATATTATTTATGTGCTGGAGGATTTAAATATTAGTTATCCTTCTAAATTTCAAGTTTCTACGAATAAGGATGAACGAATCGCAACAAAAAAAACTAAATTGAAAATAATAAAAAGCATTATTTTCGTAAAATGCCCCTCCTTTCTACGTTTTTTTTTTTTTCAGTTTTGCTCAATTATGGAAAAAACTACACGGGAAATCAAAAAACTAACTTTTAATTCACAAACCAAATTAAGAATTCAAAATTAAAAAAGGTCGTTTTTCTATTGGACCGATATTTATGGTAGAAAACCTAATCCGTAAGAGTTTTAACACGCAACACATTTCAACGGGGAAAAAAATTTTGCTATAACTATTAATTCTTCAATAAAAACAAAACTTAATGAAAAATTATTCACACACATATATAGAACTTAATGCACAATAAAATAAATTATCATTACAATATATTAATTTAAATGTTAATAATCTTTCTTGGTTTTTTTCATAGCAAAATCGTTTATTATTATCATAACAATCTAAATTTATGGCGATATTATTTTCTATGGAAATAATTGAAAAATGGTAAACCCTATTTTGATTTATTGACGACTTTCAGTAAGATTTGATTAGTTTTAATTTACTTAAATTTCTTTCACAAAAAACTGAAGTTCTATGTAAAGTTAAAAATATTTTGTATACAATAGAAATATTAGGACAAGCAACGTGAAAGTTGTTTTTATAAATATAATTTCAAATTTTAAATGAATTTCCGTGTTTCAGTGTGTCAATCAAAACAAACAAACGCTCTTTAAAACTTTTTACTTCATATATAAATTCAGTTTTATTAAAGTTTTTATCGTACTTATTGTACGTAAATCAATTGCATGGCCTTTTATATTATTTAACGGCATTTTAAATAACATATTCCCATCTAAAAATGAAAATGTTACTGCAATAGTTTCTACAGATTTGAAACGATATCTTAACGCTGTTAAAATACTATCTATGGCAGCTTTAATTATGTTTTTTAAATTGTTATTTTTTATTTTTAAAGTCGTGATTTCGTCTTCTGCTAATTCATCGGCTATTATTATTTTGCTTACGATTTCTAGTTAATTTAGGTCGAGTGCTTAATTGTTCAACTTTTTGTTTTGTTTCCGTAAAATAATTCATCAATACCTTCATTTTTACCTTAATGTTTCAAGAAAACGTATTAAACCCCGTGGACGAGCTACAGCCATATTAAATGAAATTGTCGAACTTTGTTGCAATTTATTTATTTTATCAATAGAACTAAGAATTTTATCCCGAGCAGTTAACATGCATATAAATGAGAATTTAATCATAGCTTTTAATAAGTTTTTAGTATCGAACTTTGCTTCTCCGCATGATATCTCTTTATCCAATAAATCGATTACCTCAATAACTTTATTCAATTGTAAATATAATGCTCTAACAGCTTTTTGTTTTACTGGCCATCCTTGTTGTACACTTGTACTGTATAACTCTTTAAAGATTCAAATGCAAGTTTTCCGCTAAAACATTATTATTAATAAAAAATATTAAATTTTTAAATAAACACGCGTACGCATGTTTTTCACTGAATAGGTAAGTATTACCATTGATTTGATAATATACTATTATATATATTTTAAAATCAATGATATTACATATTGTTATACTCGTCACCGACTCGTAGGTATACGAAAAATAAAGAAGAATATTTTCGCTGTAAGTAGTATTTATTACTACCAGCTATATAAATAGCTGGTAACAATGTAGGCACAAATTTTACCGTACAATATAATTAATGATTAGGTATTTACAATTTCTTATTCAAATTTAGAATAAAAAAAATTACAGTGAGTGCTCCGTTTCACTCCTTCTCCGTAGATCCGGCACTGTAGAAATGATTTGACAAAAGGAAGAGGTTCATTATACGTCGTACTTAGTGGTCAGAAAAAAAAAAAAAAATTGAGTGTAATGTGGCTAGTATTTTTTATTTTTTTAATAAGAGTTTTAAAATCAATTTTGACTAAAATATACGGCCTTTCAAATCATGTATAAAAGAACTTCGATCTGAATCGTTTTTCGTTAGCCATGGTTTGACGTTGGTTACAGGTATAAATTAAATAACTCTATGTACATCACCTTTCCGACTATCCACTTAGAACAGTGGCCGCACCGGTCATCTGCATAAGGTGATCTTTTTTATTTTTTATTTCTAACGATTTCCAGGTTTAAAAAGGAAAAAATCACGATTAATACGTTACTCCGCTCAGATTGATTTTCATTTTCAATGATTTATCGTTGCGTACAGTTTTTTATAATCAGAATTACCCTGTACACCATTTCTTCTCGACTACCAACCTGCGACAGTAGCTTATCCGCGAACGGTATCGACTTTTTATATATTTTTTTTTTTATTAGGTTTTATTATCAGTTGCCGATCATATTATAAAATATTGTTACATTCTGAATACAATATTAGGTACTCGCATTATTAAGCTGTTAAGAAAACCACAATAAATACGTAGGTACCTTTTTTTTTTTTTTAACACCTAAATATACCTACGCGATTTTCATTTTTAATATTTTCAAACCTCCATATTATTGTTGCGCATATTTTTTATTATAAACTTTAATGACCGCTTTTCGTAAAAACTTTTCGCGTGATGGCGGCGGCGGTAAGTCTGCAGATATCATTGAAAAAACCACCTGATCAAACAAAAAACAAAAAGAAATACTCGTAAAAAAAAATTATATAATATTTTACACAAGTATTATAATATATAGGGGAACAATTTAAAAATTCTAAATACGAAATAAAAAACTTGACTTTATATTTCTTTCGGCAGATCATTAAACCTGCTGCGTATATAAAAATTCTCTTAAAAATAAAAATAAAAAAAAATACGGAATAATTTACAATATTTAATTTTATGTGACTTTCATATTATAATGATTACACGCGACGCAATCGTTTGTATTTTAATGAAACTAAAAGAAAATCATAATAATAAAAAACTATAATGTACGATTTTCGGATGTTTTATAAATAAACCAATTATGTAAAGCTGACCGTACGTTTCTGAAAGTCTACTGGGATTTGAAAGATCCCGAAAATAAAAAAAATTAAAAGCATTAGAAAAAATCGTGTAATATGTTTGTCGTCTAGTTTGACAACTGCTGCAGAATATCAATATTATATTAGTTTTTTTTTTTTATCGTCGACTATTATTTTAATCGCCGACAGCGGGATTATTAATTAAGTAACGTACTTTAAAAAAAAAAAAAAAAAAAAAACCAAGTATATTCCTAATGTAGCGGAAAAACTATTAGTTTCACTGAGATTTGTTCAAAACACGCTCTTACCGTTTGTGACAATATAATATGGTCCACGATTTGTTCTTGCCATATACGTAGCCCCGCATCGTGCACACTGCAGGGCGCACTGGCACTAAAAAAGTCACCGGAATTCAGATCTGGAGTGGCCACATCTGTACATTGTTCTTATATAAAAAACAAAAAAAAAAAAAGCATAAAACAAGAACGCTTTTAGATTCGGAGCGAACGAGGAACGCATTGGTTTTACAATGACGTTTATTTTTTATTTTTATTTTTTATTTTGTGGACGACTTTTTTACCAGAAATCTCGCTCCAATTTTCAAGTGTAGTATCTTTTCCGAAAGGGTAGTTTATCTGGCTGCTACTTTCGGGAGGTCGTTTCGATTTTCCAAGGGGTTTTAAAATAAACGGGAAAATGCACGTACATGTACAAAAGAAACTTCACTCTGAATCGTTTTTCGTTAACAATAATCGTTGCGTACAGATATAAATTAAATTTTCCCACTACCTTCCCAATTTCTCACCTACAACAGTGGCTCATCCACCGTGCGAAGTATGTCCGCCTTTTTTTGCATTAGTTTTTTTTTAAAATGTACAACATCGACAACTTGTGCGCGGCGCTCGTCTTATCCGTAGTGATGCAATTCGGCAACATTACTTCGGCAAAGTAAGTGGTTTTTCAATCGACGAATGTAAATTACTTTACCGTATTACTAGTGATTTATTTTTCAATTTTTTTATTCAAATTACCGATAATCGTCATACCAATATTCCTAATTCTTGGCACGCGAATACATAATATGTTACTACGCATGTACATATAATACGAACAATGAACGGACAATAAAATCTGCAACAGAATCGAACCCGAATCGCAATTTCTTCTAAGCGTTCGCACGTTCCGTTACACCGAACCGGTATTGGTAGGCGCACGTCTGAAAACCGGAGAATTTTTCCGGTCCGGTTTGTTTGCGTGTACATCACGAGTACCAGGTGATCCTGATTTAAGTGGTGCATTCAAATATGTCAACACTAACATGTATTTTAACTAATACTCCGTTTGTTTACGGAATTTCATAGGTTGCCATTTGACGATCAAAAGAGTAACGGTAGCGGTTTTACCCCCGGAAATAACGGTGACGGAAAATAAAACAAATACAAAATTGTAGAGCGGCTTGTTTCCTAAATGTTCCGGAAAAAAAAACTCAACACTCTCCGGGATAACGAGCGCGCGCGCACTTGAATGGATCGCCTGACAAAGTTGTACGGCGGGCTTGTCAAACGTTCGGAACGGTCGGCACAATTTACCCAAGTCTCGAACCGATCGAAAACCAAACGGACTACAAACGTGTGCAATACATTGCGGTCCCGTTCCGAAATAACATTCCCGCGCCGCTAATTTCGCACGACACTTGTCGTCGTGGCGCGACGCGTCGAGACTGCGACGGTATTACTGCGCGCGTCGTTACGATAAATATACGGCCATTACGACTGTTTTCGAATATTTTTCGTCGCGCGATATCGGGCGCAGTTATTATGATATCGCGCGTACTACTGCTGCTTACTACGCTTTCCGTACGCACACTTTCGCGGCAACAACATCATAACGACGCACAATAACAATAATAATAATAGGCAATAATAGGTAATAATGAAATCGTTTCGCGTGTCCCCGGAGTCGACGAAAAGTGGGCGACAATACGACCACGGCACGGCCAGTGTGTACGGGCACGGGCGTCGTTCCGAAACCGAGTTTATCAGTTTAAACGGACGAAATCTCGGAAACGATAATTACCTATTATCATAGTTCACGTTTACGCCGCCGTCGTTTATGCCGCACTTTGTTCCCCGTGTGAACCGCGCATTAAATCCGTACGGTGATAAAACACGTTGGGAATATCGCCAAGTACGAGTGTCTGCCTAACTATTTAATGTGTAGTTGACGTGTTTCGCAATCGTGTTACAAGGGCGGACGTTTGTACGCGTTCGCGTATCGTTTTTGTTTTTTTTTTTGCATACGGTCGGTGAGAAAAACAAACCAGTTTATACCAGAAAATATGTTTCATGACCCAACGGTTCTGTACGCCGCCGACATGTTGTTTTGTAATATTTTTTTATTTTTTTTTTTTTGGCGTTTCGGCATCTCTAGGACCTGGTACGCTTTTAAGACACATCTGAACGCGACGAATCGAAAATCGCGAAATAATTGTTCAAAATTAAGAGAACCGTCGACGAGCGAGCCGATAGCATCGGTATACGCGTTTTCGACAAAACATCAAGCGTGTGTGGACAGTGCAGTTTTGTGCGGGTTTGTGGGCATTGGCGTGGCGGGAAAAAACAGTTGTTGGCGATATTATTTTCTGCAACCGAATGCAACTTTCGACAACCGGGTTGCTGGAATCTGCGATAAAAGTGAAAAGCTACGTTTTCGTAACCACTGTATTTGGCTATGTTCGTCGCGAATAAAATACTGTACGGGAAACAAAACGTTTTGGCGATATTTTGACCAAGTATCAAACGACAGCTATAACAACCGTTTTCCCGAAAACTGCATCGCCAAAACACGCCCGTTATCATTTATTTAGATGTTCCATTCGAACAGGTTGTTCTTATTGCGGTCGTTACGGGTTTTTCAATTATTGAGTATTGATAATACGAAAATTGCCACATCTATATGGCGTCTTCTAATCTTCTAATCTACACAATTTGTTCGGTGTTCGGACGCACTTTGGTAATTTTATCACTCGCAGGCGTCCAAATCACGGTTTAAGACAAACGAGTTGCCGGACTACAGCTCAAACATCAGATAATAAATTCACATAGTATTTTGACACTGTCTCAGAAGATAACGTTCGGCATTCACGCCCATATGGCATTGAAATATTACCGTTTTCCCCATTTACGACAACATTGTATGGTAATTTTTCCCGTCCGGAAAACGGGCAGTTGTTTTTCGCGAGTATCGGTGTTTATGGGCGTTTTTTTACTGTCGTCGGGCAACCTGTATAGCACCTCAATTTCTCACGTATGCATATATATAAATATATATAAACCTTAAAGATTTGTGAGGATTTTAAATATCTGCCCCAATTATTACGCGATTACCTATGATTTTCAACCGAGTGTGAAATATCATTTTAATCTAAACGCAGTTCGGTGTACAATAATTGTGTTCGTGCCCTCGTGTACTCGATCATTTGATGTTATTCAAACATCACTGAACTTTCGACGACGTTGCACAACTATAGCGTTCGGTTTCCACAGCACATTATTATCATTATTATTATTCTCTGTTATTTCTGGTATCCCATCTTCAAAGCACGGTCACCCTCGGTGTGCGATCATATCAAAAGCATTTCTATATGTTCTTGTTTGTTTTTTTTTTTTTTTTTTTAATACAAGAATATTTTGTAATAAAAAAGGGGGAACTGGAATATTATTATTATTTTATATGATGTGTTTGTCTTAAGAGACGTATCAAAAGTGAATACATCAATCACCGATGTATTATATGTTTACATATATTATATGAATTTATACGTTACTTCAAAAACTCGGGGTATTAAACGACTTATTTTATTTTTTTGAAAAACTGTGGTTGGATATTTATTACAGATGGATATTTCGAATGAAGTCCGGGAGGAAGGGTGATTCATAATCTTCTGAGAGCGAACATTTTGTAGAATTATTACACTTTATTAAAATTCGATCACAGACATTTAGGGAAAAAATGAAAGTCAGACACACGATACACCATAGCTAGGTAACTATTGTAAGCGGAAATTGTGGAAGGCACTTAAAGAATTTATAAGCTGAAAGTAACGATAAATCGTTGCAATCA